TGTGGCACATGCTGTGCATACTCCACAGTCTTTCGCTGCTCACCTAGTGTGCAGTTGTGGACATTCGCAGACCATGTGCGAATTCGGCATAGGGAACTTCACCGATGGATTGAGTGCGATAAACTTCTTGACTGGGGATCATATTTTTGTATCGTTCGGCTGGATCTCGTATGACCAGGGCTTGATTTACTCGTCCGCGAGACGGTTGACGACAAGATTGCTGACCATATAGTGTCTGCATTCGAGAACAAAAAAAATATAAGCACGACATTTGCGCGATTCCCCTTCCTCTCTACACGTAAAATTTAATTTATCAACTAAATCAATTTATTTATTACGTTCTTCTACACAGTAGTTAGGCTCATGGTCTGTTTCAAATCAATTTATCTCCTCCACTGGTTCTTTTAACTGCTCTCAATGCAATTGAAAAGACGGGTTGCGCTTTATTTTCTGGGAACCATGAGGAACCGTGTAATCAGCTGCGCGATCGTCCTCTGGTATACCAATTCTTGTATTCTATCTGTGATGTCCGTGGTTGACGATCCTCGGGTTGGTTTACGAATTTTGCGGAACTGCTGACACCTGACGTGATTGAAATAGCTAGTTTTCAACGTTCTGGTTCTTCAGCATTCTAATTTTCATGGAAATTGATCGGAAAAGTGGGTGCCTTAGTGGTAAATAATGTTTTTTCACTTTGATACTTGCCTGGTCCGAATATTTTTACTACTAAATTAAACAATAGAGAGACAAACCCCTTAGTCAGGAGAACTTACACTATTGCGGTAGGATCCCGCAACTCGAAACTTGAATTTGCAAATCACTCAAGGCCTTAAGAGGATTATAGTATGATTATTGGATTGAGTGATAGCGAAATTCTTATCAGGTTCCAGTAGCTGTGTTCCGTCGCACAACCTTTTGTAATTCGCTCCAGTTGCAGTTTGGCTCGTGGAGAACACGCCATGATCACATCACGAGGATCGTTGTCTATTCACACGATGTGAACTGTTCCACCAAATCATTGATTTGGATGTTTTACGATCGAGTGGTTTAATCATAATGTCTCTCTAAAACCTCTAACAAAACCCAGATTATGTGAATAATTGGAATTTTACGGTGATAAAGATCGTTCTAGCGACATTCAATGTTTATTGACCTTGAAGGTTATTGTATATGTTACCTGCTGCACTCTCTCTCTGTCACACACATCGTTTTGCATACGAATTGCACGGTCCTCTAATGCCTTGGAAGTTCAATTATTCCCCTATCATCGCACTAATAAATCCAAAACATATTGATATACTGATGTAATGCCACCTGAATACTAGCTGAATCTTTGATAACCAGTTCAAGGAGGCCTATGAAACAGTGGGTTGTTATGTGACCAGCATATGTTGGTTTACCGCTCTGTTGGATGCTAAGAGATGCCGTTTTTCGTGGCTGCCGTTTAGCTTACGCCTACCAAAACCAACTCGGCCGTCAGTCGATTCCGTGCAATGCGTCGTTTACTGTACTTTTCTTGTACCAACTGTGACAGGAAGCTACGAGCGATGACCGTTGAAGCAATAAAATCTTGTCATTTCCGCCTCACGTCGACCGAGTGCTAGTAATTAATGTGAGCCGCTGTAACACGTGACGTATTTGAGCTAATCCATCATGCAGGAGGTTGCAATGGTCCTGTGGGGAGCACTTGACGCATCCCCGTTCGTTTTCTGTACGAATTTCCATTAGATCATCCATGACCTCTTCCGTCAGTTACTGCTGAATTACAGTCATTTATTCATGTCCTCTGACCGTTCCCGTCACGTAAATCATAATCTGTTTCGCTATGAAGCCATGTGACAAACCAGTTAAGCACCCTTTCATTTTTAAGCTGGTTGGTTTAGCCAGCACCATATTTGGATTTAAACACTTTTATTTGTCGGCAGGCCAACTCGAGTCTGGTTTTCCCATTTCATTCACCGCAACACAATCAATTCTCTGTGAGCTGATTGATTAAACCATGGTGTTTATTCGAAATCTGCCTCTATTCACCTGACTATTGTCCTTCAAAACACAGCTGTCATGCCATCAGAGCCAATTCAGGTTTTTCTTTCGTATTACATCTGCTAATCTATTTATCTTTTCCAAAGTGCAAATTTCACTCCATTGAGATTCCTCACCCCCAACCTGATTATTCGTTTGTTGATCATTTTCGCTTTCAACCTGACTTCACCGGCAATTGCTGCCGGAACTAACATAGGTCGATAAAATTCAATCTGTTTAATGGGTCTCATCGCTCTATTTTCAGGCAATTTTCGTTCATTTTTCAAACATACCGATTGAATCTGAACCGAGGTACTTGCTGATACTAATCAGCCTTAGATGTTGATGATACTTGTTTCTGTTGTTTTTTACTACTGTTCATAGACAAATGCTGATTGGCTCAATCTATGCTTTTTCGCTTCCCATCTAACCATTCACCACGATCTGATTGTTCAGTTTGCTATGGTGAATGTGGCGATATATGTGTTCACGACTGACAGGCGTGTTTGCCTTCTGATGAATCTGTATAAATTGTGTTCACGAAGGAGCGATGCGGTATCCCCTTGCCGATTATCAAAGGTCAAGAATAATCAAAATCAGTACCTCTCTTCTCGATTATTCTCGCTAATCGATCGATCGATACAGTTATTCGTCTTATTTCCGGTCTCCTTCGATCAATCATCTCTCTCCCTTAAACAACCATCGATTCAGTTGTACGCTGTGGTCTATCGTTTTGTTGGGCATATATTAGTCATACTGTAGAAATACAGTAAGCTTAGTATTGGTCTGCTTCCCCATTGTGTACACCATTTACTGATTCAATCCACACAAGATTCATTTGTGCGCAGCTATGAACTGACTAGCACTAGTTAGATGTAATTCTGGTGATATCACAGCAACGAACTGTTTAAAATGTGTTTTCGTGGATTCAACTCTTCTGAGATCGGTATGCGGTTATGACCCAGAGAGAGAGAGAGAGAGAGAGAGAGAGAGAAAAGAACTCTGGTAGCTGATTTGGATCAGATCACTCTAGGTCAGTGGGTCATTTGGGGAGAATTCGCCTAACAATCGGTCTTCGATTTGGTCGCTACTTTTGTGTAACTTTTCCGGGGGCGTGTGCATTCTATTCATTTCACCTTTTCGTTTGCTCTCACTACAATCCCAGCGTCTTCTACTGACTGACTATTTTATTTCCCGGGACGGGAAATGCGCGGAAACAAGGCGAGCAGCTTGTTACAGGAAAAATATGGGGCAAATTACCAACGATTCAAGTGGATCACGTTATATATAAGTGTTATCGATACCTGTAATCCGTTCGACCATACGGAATCGTTTTCATTGTAATTTAACTCTCACTTACCTTTGGCACAATTTTTCTATTGTGCATCGTCAATTATTTTTCCTCAACGCATGGTTAGTACCCAAGCTAAATCCCATGGAAATAAATCGGAATACAGGGGTACGTAAAAGTATGCGGGTGAATATTTACCATAAGCTCAATTTGACGATTCCGCATTCAGTAAAATGATTTACAACCGACCACACGCCACCTTGTACGAACATGCCATGTTCTCGAGCATGTGTGCTTGCCATGTCCTTAGGAGCCATCATAAGTTAAGAGTAATCTG